AAATCATTTTTATTTTTTAAATATTTATTTATAAATTAATTTTAATTTATTAAATAATAAATATTAATTATTTTTAATTAATTAACTACTGATAAATCTCATATTTTTAATTAATAAAAATAATATAATTACAATATCACATGATATTGTAAGTATATAACATAATATGTCATTATTTAACTAACTTATTTTATTTAAAAATGTATTCATCATATTATATGTATTTATTTAATATTAGATTATAATTATAAATTTTACATATTATTATAACTATAACTTATTATTTAATCAATTAAGCCACTCTAATGGTACGCGCGCGTGTGTATATATATGCATATTTGTATATAGAGCTCAGAAAGAATAAGTTGCCTCATAAAGTATGCATATTAATTTTTAAATTAATGTAAAATTTATAATATTTTGATAAAAAAATTTATCAATTAAAATATATTTAATGGTATTAAACTAAGAAAAATGCGTGAAATTTTGGGAAGCATGAGCGGCTTCTTGGGAAATCCTCGCGTTGCACTGATGAGTGACTTTTTGGGAAAACATCGTGTGGCACCTCCAGTCTCCAATTTTAAATATTAATTATGGGCAGTGTTATATAAATAATTTTTTATATTATTTTTTAATATAATTTTTATGTATTATTAAATAAATATATATATTTAATACCATAAATTTTATATAAATTAAAAAGATTAATCATTTAAATGATAATAAAAAAATTAAAAATTATTTTAAAATTATTTTTCATTAATTATATAATTTAGTAATAAAATTATATGATCTTTTCATATGTTTAGATTAAAAAAATAAACTATTCAAATTATAATATTTTTAAAATATTATAATTCAATTATTATTATTTTTTATTTCCCTCCATTTAAACATATTATTACTTTTTACATAAAAAAAAAAAAAATCAACTTTGACTTCTGCTTCTGATTCATCCTTGAGAATGACACAACAGCACAACCACCGCCCCTATATATGGTCATATCGAGATTTTCATTTTTCAAATTTTGTTTTTAACCCGTTCGTATCTCTTATTTATTTCTATATACACCTGACATATAGTTGTATCCCATTTTTCGTATGTGTAGTCCCAATTGGTCAACTGTAAATTATTTTGTGCTGAAATATTGCTAGGGTGAGTTTACATAGAAGGATTCGGAGAGGAAGGAGAAGGAGAGTGAGAAGATGTGTCTTTTTTTACTTATTTAAATTTGTTTGTTAATGAAAGGGAAAAGAGATGGACGAATGATGGAGCCCTCAAGTCTCCACCAGTTTTCCATCCCCTAATTGAGAGGATTGCGAAATTACAATGATTCTCTTAAAATGTTTAGGTTGAGTGAAATGAAAGGGAAGGAATTTTATTTTTTTATTTAAATAAATTAATTAATTAGTTAAAAAAAGAGAAAATATTCTTCTTTTTTCTCCTTTTATTTTTTATAATCAAATAAATTTTTTTTTCCATCTCTTTTTTTCCCTTTTTTATTTTTTATTTTTTTCAACTCAAATATTCTACTATTCTTAAAACCTCTCTCCTAAGCCCTAAATGCTCCATCATCCACTCCTCCTGTTTGTTGTGGGGATCAAACTGCTCCATCCTGCTCTCCAATATTTCCTTCCTTTTGAACCTTTTTTAACTTTCTCCTTCTGATAAAAGTCTAGTGGGGTATTAGTATATGCTGTATGCAACTAC